ACGAACTTATAGTCTTAGTTCCAGACCTATTGGAGTTAACAATCTCTTGGATCGTTAACGGGTGTAACTTTCACCCTGTGAACGGTTTACAAGTTCCTAAAACTTGTTGGCGACTCTTTTGCTCTAGCTTCCTTCCCTTTGGACGCCACCATATTTAAGTGTATGGTGACAGTGGGGTTCAAGTTTGGGATAATGCTTGACATATTCCCTACACCATGAAATGAATATTATTGCAAATTTGTATACAAAGTTGGTGAAGAATTGTGATGCCCCTATATATGTTAGATATTTTACCAAATTAGGGGGAGAATTGGAGTAAGTTGGCAAAAATTAATGAAACTGACGATCCCTATATATATATATATATATAATGGTAATTTGAAATGTTTTCTAGCCAACTTTCATCCATATGTTATTAAGATCTGTTGCACATTGAGATAAAGCTTGTCAATTGTATATACTTGATTCACTAAACTTGAAGTGTAGATTGTATAATCGGTTCCAAAATAAAGATGTGATATATGGAAAGATAGTGTAGTTGACACTTTTAATAGTGTAATAGTATATTAATACCAAGAGTATGAAATATCCTAAAAGTGGTATAGATATCTAAATTATTATAATAAATGGCCTATGATGTAAGAAAAATTATGATGGTACCAATGAAAAAAAATGTATTCAGATATCATTGTCAAAATAGCATGCAAATTAAAATTGTACCTTGTTGAGGAATTATATGGTGATACCGGTATATGACGAAACCGATAAATAATGCATATGCGTGATATAATGGACTAGTGAGTAAGCTAAGGGATCTGAAATATATGTCCATTCTGATGTTGACATAATGATAATGATAATAAGTTTACCATGGACCAGAAGTTCAATGAAATATGGATTTTTAAAGCCACCCTGTACAGTGTCTTGCATCATTTTGAGTCTTATGTTCATGTGCATGTGAGTCATAGGTTAATGGTTTGCAAATGTAGGAAGTTGTTAGATGCATTACTCATTGTATATTTTGTTTAATATGTTATCATGTTTTCTATATCTCATATTGCATGCATTAGTTTCTTACAATAACTGTGGTGTATGTGAATGTTCATTCAAAGTATAGATAGACATATTTACAAGTTTGATGAAAAATTAGAATGAGATATTTATATTCCAATGGGCTTATAATTGTGATGAAATTATTGATGACACCGATTTAATGGCAAGTAATGAATCATGTAACAAGAGTTCCTGAAGAACTTATATACGACGTATTTAAATAACAAGCCCTACAAAGTTTATATCTTGAATATTGGAATTACTATCAAATTCTTGAAAAGTCTATGTAACTACATCATTGACATCTCAACCTGAAGTTTGAGCATATGAGAGTTAATGAGATTTACTATTTGTATGTGCAAGAGAGCTATCGTGTCAATTATGAAATGTCTAAAGAATATCCATGGAATACTTATGCATGAGAATGTTTTCTTATGGTCCAGAAGAACCATGATTAGCGTATATAATTATATGTGTTATATTATAATTCAAATGAGATTGAAGAATGACATTAATAATATCAAGCTTTGTCATCAATTATTATTAATGAAAATTTGATCAAATAATGATCATAAATATTATCATTTCCAGAAGAAGTCATAACCGCATAAGTTTAACCTTTAAATGAACTATTAAACAGAGATTTGAAATTATGATATTAGAGATAAACACATGTACGGTGAAATGAATACACTTCACATGTTCACGTGAAGACTCGAAGATGCGGTTTCAATTTAGGAGGATCGAAGATCAATAAAGTGATATTTTACTACATATGAGATGATATCCAACATATTAGATTCATTGCTGCGACACTAGAAGATCTCAAGTTATGTATTCACCAGGGGGAGAAAATACGCGCTGCACTCTTTTTCCTTTGACCATGGTTTAGTCCCACATTGGGTTTTCCTAGTAAGGTTTTTAATGAGGCAGCATCTCGAGCGTATTACGAACAATGTTGTCCTCTTTTTCCTTCATTAGGTTTTTATCCGACAGTGTTTTTCCTAATAAGGTTTTAACGAGGCACAATCTTCGATAATGGACATTCAAAGGGGAGTGTTATAAAATATTGTGTGGATGACCATTTTACTCTTTATATCATTCCAGAATATTCTAGATATATGATTTATTCTTATACAAATATATTTGTGGATGTCCATATTGTATCATTCTAGAACTTTCTAGATTTTAGGGTTTATATATATATATATGTTTACCTTTATCATATAAAAAAAAAAGTAGAATATACAGATTAATTCCCTCTGAATCTCTTATATTTCTCCTTATTTTACTACAAAAAGTCAATTAAAATGGAGTTAGTTTAAATGAAATGGCTTATATATAACATTTTTTTTGAATTTGAATTCATATCATGTCTATCCTTAAAATTCTCTTGTTAAATACATTATTTAAAATATTTTATAAATTATTGTTTAGGGAAAAATAAAAGAAATAAAAAAAAAGCGAAAAAATATTTGGGCGGGAAAAATTTTGTTGTAAATGTGACATGTGTACTTAAGGGATAACTTTGGAGATTACTTTAGTATATAGTATATAAGAGAAAACCCAAGTTACTCATTTTGAGTAATGACCAAAGTTACTCAAAGAGCATGCGGGTCATTTTGCTAAGTAAAACTGGGATAAAATTGTCAAGATAAGGTAAAAGTGAAGAAAACAGTGGGCTTAATTGGAGAAAAAATCAATAGATCTTCAAAGTCTTCAATGGAGAAACAAAGAGGCTTTAATGGAGAATTGAAATATGCAATTAGTTTCAATGGAGGAGGACAAAACTTATACCTTTGGGGTTGACCATGCCATTCTTTCCTCCATTTTTCTTTAGATTTTTTGTTAAATTTTGCCGCCGGAAGTGGTGTGTTGGGGTCGGAGTTTGTTAAGGTGTTAGTAGTGGTGGGGATGATCTATGTCGTTGTGTAGGGTGAATTCTACCATTGTTATACTCTTGCATACAAGTGAAGAAGGAAGAAAAAGAGAGAGATAACGAAGGAAGGACTGTCAGGCGCCAGCTATGCACGAATTTCTAGACCAACATTTACAAGAAGGGCTGAGTAAAACTATCTGAAAATACGAAAATCCGATCCGCATCTAATCCGAAAATTATAGATATTCGATCCGAAATCAATTTCGGATTGGATTTTTAGATCACATATCCGATCCGAAAAAATTGGATATCCGATTTCGGATCGGATATTCAAATTCTCGATTTCGAATATCAGAAAAAATTACCGCCTCTTTCTAATATCCATCGGTTGTTTAAGCTCCACAAAGGCCCAAGTATCAAACCCTAATAATCTAATTATACCTTACTGCCTCTTTATCTCTCCTCTCTCAATCAGCCGTTTCCTCCTTCCCTCCTCTCCTTCTCCTCTCTTTCTCTCTCCTCCTTACTGTACCAGAATTCAAATCTCTTCTCTCCTGTTCATGAGTTCATGGTACTCTTTTAGACAAGTGAAGAAGGAAGAAAAAGAGAGAGATGAAAAAGGAAGGACTTTCAGAGCTATGTACGAATTTTTAGACCAACATTTACAAGAAGGGCTAAGTAAAACTATCTGAAAATCCAAAAATCCAGTCCGCATCTGATCCAAAAATTATAGATATCCGATCCGAAATCAATTTCGGAATGGATTTTCAAATCACATATCTGATCCGAAAAAATTGGATATCCAATTTTCGGATCGGATATTCAAATTCTCAATTTTGAATATCCGAAAAAATTACCGCCTCTTTCTAATATCCATCAGTGGTTTAAACTCCACAAAGGCCCAAGTATCAAACCCTAATAATCTAATTATTCCTTACTGCCTCTTTATCTCTCCTCTCTCAATTAGCCGTTTTCTCCTTCCCTCCTCTCCCTCTCCTCTCTTTCTCTCTCCTCTTTACTCTCCCAAAATTTAGATCTCTTCCTTCCTCTTCATGAGCTCATGGTTGCTTCACTATACTAGTTCACTCTCTCCTTAACATTTCCTCAAAATCCCTCAACAACTCTGACCCCTCGCCTCTCTTTCTCTCAATTTCAACCTCTTAGATCTACAGACCTTCACATCTTTGTTGTCCTCACAAGTCACAACCAGAAGCTTGCCTTTCACAAGTCTCAACTCTCACCAATTTAGCCTCACTCAAGATCTACATTTTTGTAGTTTTGTTTTTTATGATTTGTTTTGTATAATGTATGTAACTCTTACAAGTGTTCTTTAATTTTTATTTCGTTTTAAAAATAATTAATCTTGGTTTTTTTATTTTTATTTTTATTTTTTTGGTATGTGTTTAATCTTTGATTTTAGATTTTGAAATTTGTAGGATTATTAGACTCAAATTATATGAATAATTATAGCTTGAAATTATGAGTTTGAGTTTACAGTCATGAATTGCCTTTAAAAAAAATAATTAATTTTGCCAATAAATTAGTATTTTAACATTATTATTCGTGTAAAAAAAATCATTCGGATATAGGATATCCGAACAATCCGATTTGAAATTTTTGGATATTCGGATTTCGGATGTTTGAAAAATTTCGAATCGAATAAGGATATCAAATATCTGCATTTTCAAATATGGATATCCGATCCAAAAGGGCTCCATCGTCATTAAAGCTTTTGTATTAAAAAAAATAATGAATACCCATAATAAATTGGTTTTAAAAAAAGATTCAGAAAATGAGTATAGGCTTCAGATGAGTACAGTAATGTTGGAAGTTAAAAATACAAAATGACTCCCTCGAAAGAAAGTGCTCTCTCTCGAAAAAAAAAATTCACTCTCTATCTGCGGATAGAACCCTACCGAATTTTGGTGGCTTCCTGTTTTTTCTCAGCAACTAGCCTGTCGCTATGGAGGATGAAAATGCTAACCTGTGTTCCTACCCTCGAATCAATGAAGAGGAAAACTCAACAGTTGATCTTGGTGACATAAACCCTAACTAGGAGGGGAAAAATATGTCATTGGTGCTCATTAGCAAATTATTGACTCGTAAGGCTTACAATGTTGATGCGTTTAAGAGAACTATGACGACTGTTTGGGCTCTTGCCAATGGTGTTGTGACTAGGGTTCTTGGCCCTAATTTATACGCCTTCTAATTTTTCCATTGGCAGGTTATGGAGAAGGTGTTAAACGGCAGACTGTGGTGTTTTGACAATATGCTCGTGATTTTGAAGGAGATCGATGGCAATGAACAACCGGAGGAAGTAGTCTTGACAAAATCACCCTTTTGGGTGAGAATAAAAAACCTACCTTTCAATTGTAGGTTTGATGCTCATGTTAGAAAGCTTATTGAAGGGATAGGTGAAGTTATGGAGATAGAAGAGGATGACTTGGGAATTGTTTGGTTTCGAAGAGTAAAAATCATGCTTAATACGACCCGCCCTCTACGACGATTTCAAAAAATCATAGATCGAAGATGGAAAGACCTGCAGGTAGACTTTGCTTATGAACGCTTGCCTTTTTTCTGTTTTGCGTGTGGTATGATGAGGCACTCTGAACGTGAGTGTCTTGTAGTAGCAGAGGAGGATAAACATGAAAGATTGGGCTGGAGCACGAATTTAAAAACTACTCCTAAGAAGGGAGTCTCAAAGGAAAAGGAAGATTAGAGAAATTAAAGTCTGCTAAGAGGTTGACCTTTACAAAACAACCAGAACTTGAACATACAGAGGCAGAGGAGGACTCGATTTTGAATGTTGCTGCTGGAATTTCTCACTTTACCCCACCTGATGCGCGGGAGATAGTGGCTACTTTACCTAGTACACTACCTAGTAATGCCCCTGGTGTTGTGAATTCAAATGCAAAAGATAAGTGTACTATGGACTTATTTAAGCAGATCTTTGCTCAGACCTTTGCTCAGCTTGTGTCCTAATTCAATTTGTTTGTTCAATGTAAGTCACTCTATGAGTGATGAGGGGTGTGGTGGGAGAAAAAAGGGACGCACACCCCCTGCAAATAAATTAATTGGGTTTTTCTAAGCTATACCCCTAAGGTATTCTTGTTTCTAAGGTGTACCCATGCCTTTTTAAGTTTCTAAGCTATGCCCTTCAACTCCTTATCAATAATAAAATTAGTTGTTTAAAAGTTATTTGAGAGTGTGATTTCGGGGCTTCAGTTTTCGTTATTAGGGTTGCGGTGGTTAAGATTTCTTTCTCCTACCATTTCCTTACTTTTTATCATCTTTCTATTAAATCTATAGTTAACTTTAGGTGACGTGGAAGTCCCAAACTTTAGGTGACGTGGAAGTCTCAAGGAGGGTACCATTCATTAATGATAGTGAGTTGAGGGGCACAACTTAGAAACTTGAAAAAGCATGGGTACACCTTAGAAACTTGAATACCTTAGGGGTATAGCTTAGAAAAAATTTCAATTCCCCAAGGCACCCAAAAACGTTCTCTGGATATTGAACCTATGACTATAGCGATTGAGGATAGTGGAAATAAGCAAACCAAACAGGGTGAGAATGCATCTATAGAAACTAATTTAGCGGCAGAGGTTGGGCTTGACCAACCCCGCCTCGTCCAATGATCGTACTTTGTTGGAACTGCCGGGGATTAGGCAACTCCCAGTCAGTTCGACAGCTCTGTCGATGGAGTAATAGGCATGCCCCTAGCATGATTTTTGTGTCGGAAACTATGATAAATAAATTAGAGGTCGAAAATGTTAAAGAACATTTGGGTCGAGAATGCATTTGGGGTAGCAAGTAGAGGCAAAGCGGAGGGGCTTTGTTTATATTGGAAGAAAGACGTAAACGTTGCATTGGTGTCATATTCTCAAAATCATATTTACGGGGGTATTACTAGCGCGGAGGGGACTTGGAGGTTTTTGGGTGTCTATGGATGACCAAAGGAGGAAGAAAAATATAAAATATAAGATTTGATCTGACATCTTTGTGGCGAAACCCCCCACCCCATTCTTATCGAGGGTGATTTTAAAAAAATCCTATCCTATGTTGAGATTGAAGGAGGTGTGGATAGAAATAGAAGAGAGATTGAAAAATTTCGGGATTTGGTGGATGACTATGAGCTCAGGGACTTGGGTTACATTGGATCTTAGTACACTTGGGAGAGGGATAGGACTTTGGAAACACGTGTTCGGGAATGGTTGGATCTATTTTTGGGGACTTCTTCATGTATTGATTTGTTTCCGAGTATGGAAGTGGAACACCTTGTCCGCTATAAGTCCGATTGTACTGCATTGCAGCTTAAATAGAAGGAGGGGAGATATAATAAGAAGAAGAAAAATAAAAGCTTCAAATTTGAGATAGGGTGGCTCTTGGATGAATCGTGTGAAAGTACGGTGCGTGTTGCCTTGGAAAATTCGAAAGGGTGCACCGTAATTGAGAGGATTGCTGCAGTTGCTAGGGGCCTTTGTTTCTGGAGCAGTAAAAAATTCCACAATCTGCAGAAACAAATTGGCGAGGCAGAACAAGCATTGAGACAACTCAACTTCAAAGTTCCTCGGCGGAGAGTATTCTTCAGTGCACTACTATTGAAAAGAAGCTTGGCGAGTTGAATTGAAAACTGGAAGCATACTGGTATATTCATAGTAGAGTTTCCGAGGTCTAAGATGGAGACAAAAATACCGTGGACTTCCACCACAAAGCTTCACTAAGAAAGAAGAAAAATTTCATTAGTGGAATTTATGATGAGCAGGGGGTCTGGCATTCGGACGAGGAAAAAATAGAAAAAATCATGACCAAGCATTTTGCTACATTGTTCCCTTCGTCTTCTCCTTCGGAGGAGGTGGATATACAGGAAGCTCTGGAGAGTATCAGGCCATGTATTTCTCCAGAAATGAATTCAAACCTTATGAAACCGTTTACAAAATATGAAATATTGGCAACACTAAAGCAGATGCATCCTTGCAAAGCTCCTAGTCCGGATGGTATGCACGCAATTTTCTATCAGAGATCTTGGCATTTTATCGGTGATGAGGTGACTTCCTTTGTGAGTAAATTTTACATGGCTTTTCTTATCCAAGTCCTGTAAATAGTACTAATATTGTTCTGATTCCTAAAATTGATGCCTTGACTAATACTACTGAATATAGCTCTATTGCCCTCTGTAATGTGCTTTACAAATTAGTGTCAAAGTCTATTGTTATGAGACTTAAAAATATTCCCCCTTGTATCATTTTCGAAAATCAGAGTGCTTTAGTTGCGGGAAGGCTTATTATTGATAATGCCCTTATAGCTCTGGAAATTTTTTCATACTATGAAGAATAGGAGCAAAGGCAAGAAAGGGACGATTGCAATGAAATTAGATATGAGTAAAGTTTACGACAGAGTTGAGTGGGGCTTTATGAGGAAGCTTCTTTTGACCATGGGGTTTAATGGCAGATGGGTGTATATACTGTTTCTTACTCCGTTGTAATCAATGGGGGAGTATGTGGATCATTTTCTCCTACTAGGGGGCTCCAACAAGGGGATCCTTTGTCTCCTTATTTGTTTATTCTAGTGATTTATGTGTTTTCTAGTATGTTACATAATAAAGTCCGTGAGAGGGCTCTGCATGGGGTAAAGGCTATCACAATGGCCCGTAAATCTCTCACCTTTTATTTGCTAATGACAGCCTACACTTTACTAGAGCTAACATGTTGAGTTACTCAACAAGTATGAGAAAGCATCCAGACAGAAAATTAACTATGAGAAGTCGGAGGTGTCTTTTATTAGGGTTGTACATGTTGAGCAAAGGGAGGGTTTGATGGAGATCTTACATATGCAGCAGGTTGACAGACATGAAAAATATCTGAGTATCCCGACCATCATTGGCTGGTCAAAGAAAATGATTTTTGAGTCGGTGATATAATATGGAAGAAATTGCAAGGGTGGAAGGAAAAGCTTCTTTCGAGAGCAGGCAAAGAAATTCTTCTAAAATCTGTCATACAAGGCATTCCGTCTTATTTGATGGGGGTATATAAATTCCCGATCACAATTGTTCAGCGTATACATTATGCTATAGCGAGGTTTCGGTGGGGTTCGAGTGAGGGGACGAGGAAGACTCACTGGAAGAGTTGGGGTTATATGTGTACTTTGAAGTGTTTAGGGGGTATGTGGTTTTGTGACTTGAATGTTTTCAATGACGCTCTTTTGGGTCGGCAAGCGTGGAGACTAGTAACGACCCCTTCCTCTTTGATTGTGTGGGTCTTCAAAGCGAAGTACTAACCTCACTCGGACTTCCTTGACTCCTATATTGGTTATGCTGGAAGTTATTCTTGGCGTAGCATTTGGTCCTCAAAAGCAATCATCAAGGGAGTTGTGTTATGGAAGGTGGGAAATGGCTGTAATATTAACTTGTGGTCGGATCCATGGGCTGCTGATGCAAATGGCCGCTTTATTCTGAGTGAGGAGTCTCCCTCACTGTCCAAAGTGAGTGATATCATTGACTCGATTAGTATAGAATGGAGGTATGACGTTATAGATGAGCATTTGAGTGACAGAGACATTCAATGTATTTTAGCTATCCCCCTGAGCGTAAGAGCTAGTGATGATGAGATTTCTTGGGATTTCTTTAAGTCAGGAGATTATATGGTTAAGTTTGCGGATTTACTTGGCAAGGGATGTGATTTGGAATGCGAATGTTACTCCTAAAGTGCGACATTTCTTCTGGAGACTTTTTACAAATACCATTCCTGTTAAAAGCTTGTTGTACTATTTCCATATGACCATTGACAATCTGTAACACCACCGATTTACTAATTAATAATAAATAAGAATTAAAAGGAAAATAAAAAACCTTTGAATAAAATTGCGGAAGCATACACCTAAACCAGAGGTATTACCGCCACACTCAACAACCTGTCAAGTGTTAAGGCTTACAAAAACCCCAATAATTACAACCCAATAAACTAAGTGAGCTATTTATACAACTTTATAAACTCATGACAACATATTAATCGAAACACTTGGACTCCTTTAGCTAAGACCACATGATCAACCTGCTTAGAAAATCTTGACTACTCACCATTACGGACAAATTCCAAAATAGATAGACGCAGGGCCACCATAAGAAAAAGGTATAGTCGCAAACAAAAGTAGCAGAACAAAACAATACACACACGTCAGCAAAAAGTTGAGTAATCATCACATATCAGAATACAGAGAAAAAAAATAGAATAATTAATATTACTAGCTCACTTAAACAATGTAGTTTAGAACTACATTGCACATTATACTCTGAAAATAACCTTTATCAACTCAACCTCGAATAATAATACATTCCTCCACTCAATTAACTCATAACCAATAAGTGTGCCATGCTCTTTGTTCTAAACCTAGCCTTGGACCAGAGTAATTCGAATAAATAAACCAACAAGTATAAAAATATGAATACTCTCGATAACCAGAAACACACCTTGAACCAGACCACATACGGTCCAATTCCCACTGTAGGGGACCATAAAAATATAAATAAAGATTGTACCTCATTTTTTAACTCATGATTATCATCTCCTTACCAACATGCCAAGGATTAAGGTATACAACGTCGAGCCTCAAACCAAGAACAAAATATACAACGCCGAGCCTCAAACCAAGAACAAAATAAGAATATTCTCCCTTTTGATCTCATAGATCAATTAATCATTCACAATGTAATAGATAATATTTCAATAATGGCACATGTTCCCAAATAACATAACAATTCAAACTCAATTCAATCATGGTATATCTCAATTCTTATAGGGCAATACTAATACCTCTAGACATCTACTTTTGGCCTCCTATCCCGACAGGAAGTGCAATGACAATAAATAAAACCATCTTTGTATTGGATCAAAGAGAATAATACTTATGGAGAACTGGTGAAGCCACAAAACACAAAAGACTAGCCCGAATTAAAGATAAAAGCCAAAACAAAGGTCCAATTAACT